TGCAGCAATCGACATCCGATCGTCGCGAGGAGCGCCGAAGGATACAGCTGGTACGCTCCTTGTAGAGGGCCCAACACGTTCCTTTGGCAGCTCAACTGGTTGCGGAGTGCAAGAGAAGCGATGGTCCCCCGAGGGTTGGTTCTCTGGAGGGTTTGCCATCAGGTTACCCTCAGACCGCCGTGTTACTGCTTGAAGTGACTGCCGCCATGACGAGAACTAGATCGAGGCAGAGGCAATGGAGCTCTGCCCTTTTTGAGGTAACGGAGCTTGGCCCGCAATGAGAACATGACTCATCCATGAACGCCACCTCAGCGTGCTTAATGCCCAGACACGTGAGGCAGCGATCGTGACCATCACCCGACGCCAGGTAACAACGTGGCATGGGTGATACGTTGTCTTTAGCAAGACGCAACGTCGAGTTTGCCAGACACAACGTCGTCTTTAAAAAGATGCACCTGTGAATGCTCTTTTAGGGAAAAAGCTCTTTTAGTATACTGAAGCGCACAGGTGAGATGGCCGCCTGCAACACAAACAGGGGTAGTGCAGCCTGATGTGTGCAACCCACTCGACACAGGAAACCACCACCGCTGAAGCGCTGTACCACCAACACCAAGAGTTCCAAAGAGCGTGCTGAACTCGTTCAGTGTTCTTCTCTCAGTAGAGTATTCAGGAGCAAAATGATGTGATCGCTCGGCTCTGAAGCGAAAAGCTGAGTATGCGTTGCACCTGCTGCCTAGTTATACTCGCGCTGCGATCAGCGACAGCTGGATGCAATCATCGCATGCCAATGTGCATTGGCTCGTTTAGTTTACACTCGAAGTGGATTGGTCTCTCTAAGTGAGATCTCAAAGTCGGTCATTACCGACGTGACGTCGAGAGTGACCGACTGAAAGGGAACCCCTGCTTTGAACTGAAGAACATTCCATATGACTCCACTGAGTCATTGCTAATTAGCACATACCAATGAGCTGAGCTATAAGAGTCCTCGGCTACTGAAGGATCTTTATTAGTAATATAAGGAGACTGTTCCTGTAAGGTTGTTGAGTTGATAATGCCGTGGTTACTGCTCTAATGCATTGTGGGATGTGTAACTGTGCTTTTCCATCAGGGCACTCAGATTTTAGCTGCATCATATGACAAGTCGGCTCTGTTCTGGAGGCTGGAGGACAGCGTTCCCAAGGTAACAGAGCTTACCTCTCACCCACCCAAACCTCCCTGCGCTAGTCTGTCTCTCTGAATTACTTTAGAGCGTCATCAGATGAGACAGAGCAGTATGAACCATGTTAAAGATGTTTATTGCTGTGCCTGTTAAGATTCCATTGGGTTTTACATGACAATGAGGTGTGGGAGAGTTTTATGGGGCGGAATCAGCTTGTCACATGATTTTTGATGCAAACAGGCCAGATATGGGTCATTCTTACTATGCAGTAATTTTTATGGCCCAGCATATTTGTCTTAATATATTGTATAAAATGATCATCTCACATCTTATCATATTAGGAAATACAGTTCAGTGAATATGGGGTGAATTTAAAAAAAGACAACAACGTGACACTCTTATAGAAAAACAAATTAGAAATCATATTTATAAGTTTTGTATAAGATACAAAGTTCAAAGGGTTTGGCATAACAGGAATGACCCATATGTTATATAAAAATGTGTCTGAAAATTTACTAGCGTGACAAAGGGTAAAAATACACAGTTGCTCTCCTTAAAACCAATTCGACATGCTGAAAATGAGAGGAGACTACTTTAACAAGACACAATTGCTCCAAAGGCTGTAAAATTGATTGAATATTTATTTTATGTCTACTTGTGTGTGTACGCGGGTGTGTGTGTGTGTGTGTGAGAGAGAGAGACAGACAGAGAGAGAAAGTACATGTTTGGATGAATTTCTTAGAAAATATGTCTGGGTTATATTTTACCCCCATATCTAAAGAAGAAAAAAAAGTCATCAATAATTTGTTTTGAAAGATATTAACACTTTTATTCAGCAACAATGAATTAAAAAAGATCAAAAGTGAGAGCGACACTGAAGACTAGAATACCAGCTGCAAAAAAAAATCATTTTTGTCATCACATTACATATCCAAGTATAAAAATTTTATTTTAAATTGTAATAATATTTTACAGTATTACTGTAATTTTGATATATATATATATATATATATATACACAGTATATGTATGTAGACTATATACACACACACACACTAATCATATTTTCTTATGCAAAATATAATTACTTTCTTTTTTAAATTTTGGGAGAAAATATGACATGGAAATGTTCTTGACATGTTTAGAGAGATTCTGTTTAGCTTCTCATTAAAGTATGTCTATATTGTTTTTCTAGGTTACATTGACGGGTCATTCTCGTAAAGTGACAGCTGCCAGATTTAAATACAGTCAGAGGCAGGTGGTCACGGGCAGTGCAGACAGGACCGTGAAGATATGGGACCTCCAGCGAGCAGCGTGTATGTGTCACAAAAATATACATCTAATCACTCATGCATTAACTAACAACGAGCACATTCTGCATCTGTCTGCAATCATTTGTTCAACATATTAGCACTTCAGCATCAGTAATTTCCATATTTCTCTATCGTTTCTACTCACAGGCATACAAACCATTGAGGTTTTGTCTTTCTGTAGTGATGTTGTGTGCTCCGAGTACCTCATCATCAGCAGCCATTATGACAGAAAAATACGGTTTTGGGACAGCAGGTAAGAACAGGGCAATTACAACACCACCCACTGCGTAAACAACATTAAAAAAATCTCTGACAATATAAAAACTCATCTTAATAAATGTTTATGAAATGGTAACATCTATTTAGTCTGACATGATCAGACTTTGACTACGTGTATAAAGTGTGGTTCACATTGGGGCTTTTGCTGTGAAAGGCTTTGTTCACACTGCAGGGGAAAACTCAAATCCTTTAATCCAGTTCAATCCTGTCTACAAAAGTAGGATCACTATGCATAAGACTTTAGCATAGGATTTTGTCACAATACCTGGTATAGCAATAAATTAAAACCAGGATCTGGCTTGTGTTTTTTACTGTTCAGAGTATTAAAAAAAATGAAAGGAATTTGAGCCATATAGTCAGATTTTTGCAGAATGAGGCCTAAGAACTGCCCTCTTAGGGCCTGTTTACACCTGGTCCCTTCATGTGTTTCCTCTGATCGGATAGTAATCCGATTGTGAAAAGACCAGTTGTAAATGCCACTTTCGAGATGGATTTAATCCGATCACTCAAACCACTTCAGGAGATTGTCTAGGAAGCATTCAAGATGAAACTGGAAAAGTGTGAATGCATCTGGTTGTTGAAATCGCATATGTAAATTGTACTCCTCCCAAAATGTTAAACTAATAAATGTGTAAGAGTGTGTTATAGGCTATATGGCATGCTATAGTCAGATACGACAGCGCTAATGCAACACGCATCGCCGCGGATGAGTAGTTAAGTGTCTCTTCAGCAAACCGATACGCAAACTGGTGCAAATGAAAGTAAGTTGCAGATATTCAACACACAATCATCTTCATTAAAAGTGGTAAAACTTACTTATCTTTCCAGTGCTGATGCCGCTCTCTCTCTCTCCTGTTGTGGTCTTTGATTTTGAAATTAGCTGCTGATGAATAAAATGCAGTGCATATCTATTGCTTTCGTTGACGTGAACTCCATTAAATTTGCATATAGCGCAGGAATTGAAGATCGGATTTAAACAAATCAAAAATCCAATCAGAGAAAGCGCATGAACTGACCAAGTGTAAACAGGCCCTTAGACAGGAAGAGATTATCTGAACCTTATGTTCAGGTCACATATGCACAGATCTTGGTAGAGTTGCAAAAATGTGGAAAATTTCCCAGTAAATTTTGGAAACATTCCAGAAATTTTGGAAACTTTCCAGGATTTTTTTTTTAATCTTCCAGGAATTTTTGGAACGTTTCCGGAAATTTACCAGAATTTTTCCACCCCTTTGCAACCCTAGATCTTGGGAATATGATATTTATTTCCACAACCTATTTCACAAGTCTTTTTTCCTCTCAAAATTCTGCATGCGGTCAGGTCAGGTATCAGAAAAAAATCAGAATTGTTAGATGTAAACAGAATTCTGAGAAAGTCAGAATTGTTAGATATTAACTCAAAGGTGTTTTCAAACTTTCAAATGTGTGAAAAAGTCAGAATTGTGAGATCGCAATTAGTCGCAATTATCTTTTCATATTTTTATTCCATGTCAGAAATAAGCTTCCACAGAAATGGGATGTATCCTCACGGATTAAAGCAGAACATAAAAGTGTTCTCTAGAATTTCTAATTTAGCCTTTCTTCTCAGGTTTACAGTACACCTAGTATTATGATCCATCTTAATACATCTGCTTGGATCACTCAAACTACATTTGAAGGTAGATGAAAACATGTGACCATGTATCATCTGTGGTGTAAACATTGCTATCACTTCTGTAATTATTCTGTTATAAACACTCACCTGAGACGGATATTGATACTAGGTGTAAACAGGGCCTAAGTCTGCTTGTGTACACAAACTAGTTTTTAAAAATGTTTCTGGTCCGAAAGTAATTGCCTTAAAATTTACAGTTGAAGGTGGGTTTGTTAAACGAGCTGTGGTTTAATGGCTTTGTAGCAGTGTAAAACCTTGAAAACTTCACATTATAAATGTGTTGATCACTGTAGTGCTTTTCACAGCAATCGTCCAGGTTTCCAGGACTGACAATTAAATGTGAATAATGAACCCAGCTGCTGGAACTGGCACTGCTCGCTGTCTGTCACCACTCGTCTGGCTAGTGTGATGACCTAAAACAGTGCAGCCTCAGGTGTGTGTGGTGTCATCGCTGGCGAGAGACGGCTTGTTAACGCTTTTGTGGTAATGCGTGAGATTGGCTTCTCCACAGGCCGTCGTACAGACAGAAACTCTTCCACACGTGTTGACAGTTGACGATCAAAGGTGTTTGTGCTGCTTTTCCAGATGTGATTTTTTTTTTCTTTAGGCTAAATGTTTTGATGCTTTACGTTCAGTTTAGGACATGACTGTTCTTTAAAGGGATATATGGCAAAAAATTAAATCTCCATGTTTTAACGTTGAACTAGTCAACTTAAAAACATAACAACAACATGATTCAAGTGACATGCACTTTATTAAAAACTTGCAAAACCATCTAGTTAAAAAAAAAATATGGATGTTTTTCTGGGACTTGGCAGTGAAGCAGCTGAAACATGGTGGAAGTACTATGCCCGAATTGCATTCATACCACCCATATACATATATGTGACCCTGGACCACAAAACCAGTCATAAGTGTCAATTTTTCGAAATTGAGATTTGTACATCATCTGAAAGCTGAATAAATAAGCTTTCCATTGATGTATGTTAGGATCGGACAATATTTGGTAGAGATACAACTATTTGCAAATCTGGAATCTGAGGGTGCAAAAAAATCAAAATATTGAGAAAATCGCCTTTAAAGTTGTCCAAATGATGTTCTTAGCAATGTATATTATTAATCAAAAAGGAAGTTTTGATATATTTACGGTATGAAATTTACAAAATATCTTCATGGAACATGATCTTTACTTAATATCCTAATGATTTTTGGCATAAAAGAAAAATCAATAATTTTGACCCATACAATGTATTTTTGGTTATTGCTACAAATATACCCGTGCTACTTAAGACTGCTTTTGTCTTCCAGGGTCACATATAGAATGTACTTTTTTTAATGGTTGCAATGTAAATTTAATGGTTGCAAACCGAATGTATTACCTACCATACAGTATGCAATTTCAGATGCAGCTAATGTATTTTGAAGCCAAAGAACTTTTGTGCATAAGAAATAACTATTTTCTTTTTTTACTTTTTTTACTAAAAATCATTACTTTAGGCCAGTTGTCACACATGTTTATGAGAAGGTCAAGTTTACGCTTGATGTAAATGTAAGCGCATTGTGAAACTTGACAAGCACGTTGCAAGAAGTTATGCATAAGTTAAGGAAACTTGCACTTGCATTAGCTTCACAATGCACTTACATCTACGTCAAGTGAAAACTCATAAACCCTCTTGTAAATGCATGTATGAAAATTCTAAATATTAGCATTAATTCTTTTTTGGGTGGACTATCTCTTTGATGTTTTTAATCTCATGAAACCTACTGTTACGTATCCGGTCCATGAACTTCCGTCTGCTAGCCATCAGAGGTGCCTTGCCTTGCCTTGCCTTGTCTGTTTTCTCGGTTTCTGATCTTCGCCTGTTTTCCTGGATTTATCCCTTCAGTCGTGCCCCTTTTGATTCTGTTCGCCGTTCGTTGACCTTCGCTAGCCCTAGGATTATTCTTGTGTCTTGCCCGCCATATACCTGTTTTGCCATTGGTCGACCCTGCCTGTGTTTCTGATCTCTCTGCTTAATAAAGCTTGCACATGGATCCGCATGTCTCACGTCTTGTCAGCCCCGTAACACCTACACTGAAAAATAGTGTCGTTGGATCAAAGTAAAAAAAAAAATTACTTTAACTTGTTACAGATAATTGGTTTACTTTTCCTCAAGTAAAAAAAATAAATAAGTTGGACCAAATCATATTTCTAAAGTCAACTGAAAGTAAAAATACACTTTTAACCAAATATATTTTTCACTTGATTATATCACTACATCTGTTTGGATTTTTTCCTTAAATGTTTACATCTTTTTAAATCAGATATCCAGATACAAATTTAAATTGTATTAAGCAATTTCTTCACATTCAGAATGTGAGTTTACTGTGTGAAATATCATTGAATTACTGTTTGAAAAAAAAAGAAGCATTTACACTCTTGAGAGTCAAACATTTTAAAATGTGTATTATACCACAGTGAAATCCTCAACACTCACTGACATCATTTCCACTTTTAGCATTATGACAAAACCACATTGCTCATTATAATTAATGGTTTACTCTGAAAGTGACGTGACGTCTAGTCATTACATAGACATTACATGCAAAGCATGACAAGCTTGACAACAACAACAAATATTACTTGAATGAATGACAAAAAGCTCATGCAAGCCAAGAATAGAGCTACCGTTCTGGAAGAGTAATTGACATGTAGCTGTAACATAATTACTAATATGTGTAATATATTTAAAAGTATCTTTCACAAGAATTGCAGCCCTGTTTATCATGTTAAATGGACAGAATGACACTAATATGGTTAATGTTGTAATAGCTCAAATCCATTGGATAAGAAAGCAACAACAATATCTTATGGTAGAACACTACAGGCAAAACTATTGGTTTTACATGCACTGCAGAATTTTGAGCTATTTTGCTTCCGTAACATGTTTTAGCGGAAAGTAAATATCCACAATACATATTTAAGTGTTTATTTTATTTCACTTTTTATTGCACTCTATTTGCGTGTGTAGATTTCAATTATAATACACGTGGTTTTCTCAAAAGTATTTTTTTTTTCTCCTGCGCTGAGCCAGAAATCTCCACTTCAGTAGAATTTACATATCACTATATGTTCCGGTTTTGTTCTTATCGAGAGTGATTTGTTCATATATCCTTCACCTGGTTTATATAAAATGATATTCCTAAAAACTTGGTGATTTTTTTTCTGGTTGTTGGCAATATTTTCTGATATATAGAGTGATTCAAAAAAATCCAAAATCCCCTATGTAAAAATAAATAAATAAACAATTTTGCGCCAGCGCAAACCGTCTTTTGGCGTTAGTACTGTCAGGATTTACAAAAGACACGCAGTGATGAATTAGCGCTGAAAAGGTATGGACACAGTTATGTTTGCGCCTGACCTTATTGAATATGCATTTGTAGGAGTTTCCCTTTCAGACGCAAAATTTATGGGAGGAGAGTATTCAAATGAATCACGCAACACGCTTTACTAACGTTTGCGCTTGTCAAATTTCTGGTATTTGCGCCATTATTTAACGCCCAAAAAAAGCATGTTTAAAACTATTTTGCACTTGAAATGGCTGCAATTTGTTGCCGCAGAGAAGAGAGAGCGTGTGGTAGAAGGGAGAGGATTTTTTTCCACACATAATTTATTTGGAATGCACGTGCACGAAAATATCGTTTGCCAAGCCATTGTAACAAAGTTCGTAGTCACGGGAAGAAGGAGGCGGGAACCGGCGAACATTTAAAGACTTTAATAAAATAAACGAACACAAAATGAAAGTAAAGCGGCAGCCCCTCGCGGACGACTGCCGCACACAAAACACAAAATAAAATCCAGGCCTGGTCCTCTCTCGTCCAACACTGTCGTCACTCCTCCTTTTATCCTTCCGGAGCTCCTCCGTGGGACTCGAGACCGGTGAGTGGCGCAGGTGTCGCTCATCATCAATTACTCCACCGGCCTCGCTCCGTTCCCACGGCACTCATCACAACACCCGTTTAAAATAAATACAAGTTTTGCTTCATGAATCCGACTGACTTTTGGCCACTGTTTGTGAGTAGGCCTACGCTGACTCTTGATGATAAACTAGCAGAGAGTGTTAAAGTGTTGTACAAAAACTGTTATCTAGTGCAGTGGTTCTCAAACTGGGGTACGCGTGCGTACCCCTGAGGTACGTGAAAAAAATTCTGAATTTTGGCATTCATTTAATTCTACCCCAACTTAAAGTAACATTAAAACCGAACATGTATAAAATGCCGCTTCTAATGTAAAAACAGGAACGGTCAAATATCCAATCTTACCTCATCTTTTGCGGTCAAAACTGCATCCACACAAGCAGCGTGCATATGATAGGATGCCCGCTGAATATGCTGTTCAATGTATCTTTAAAGTAGATCTTCACTTAATAGCATGAAGAGCAAATATTGACACTGACTGTACATTGAGATCGATTTAAACTCTCTTCGATACAAACACACCCTGTGCGAGTTATTGTTTTCATGTTTAAAATACGAGCAAGAATGCAAATTTCCCTGAATATCCAAACGATGGCAA